CCGGCACCCCGGCCCCGGGGGGGTGGTGGCTGAAAGGGAGCGGACCGACCCTCCGGGCCGCGGGGGTCGGTGCAGCCGCCAGCAGAGGAGGAGGAGAGTAAACAACCGCGTCTGTGCGGGCGCTGCTTGATGGACAGGGCAGCAAGCGGAGGGCACGGGATTATACCGGCGGAGTTCATGCCACACGAACACGACGGGCGCTATGCCATTAAGAACCAGCTACTATGTCCACATACACACATATATTCGTACTAAATACGAGGAAGCCTTATCAACTTTTATCACAATAACAGAATTTGTGTTTAATACACCAGGGTTCATCCTAGATGGGACTTCAGGGAACACATGGGCAGTAGTTACTTTTCGTACCTCTCCTTTGTGCCCTTGGCAATGAGAGACAGAACCAAAGCAGCGCTTCACACCTCACCTGCAGAGTCCCTTGCCACCTCACACCTTCCCCCTCCCGGCAGGAGCAAAAGTCGTGCCTCCGCGTGTGCACTTGTTTATTTACACACGCTGCCCTCAGAGCATGCAGACGATAGCTACGTGACAATAATCCATGTGAGTAAGGACTGGTCAGTCTGGCTCTGCCCCGTGTCCTACAACGGGAGCATCTTGGGCACAATCCTGCAGGGTGCTGAGGCATGTGCCAAACACCCAGAGCATCTCAGGGAGCTGCATTTAGGCACCTGCTAACATACCTTGCTGGGTCAGGGTGCACCTCCATGCAGGTTTGCAAAGCAGATGTATGTGACTCGAATTGGTTCTTACAGACAAGTGAACAGCCCTAGCTCCCCTCCTGTGCCAAACTAGCATTACGTACACCCCAGGACTCCCTGAAAACCTCTACCCGAGGCAGTCTGGCACTGCGCTGTGGCCTGCATGAAACAAGAGAAAGCCTCCACACTGTCTTTCCCACATAAGTAAGAGGCAGAGAGGAGCACGCTGCCATTTTACAAACAAGATACACGAGCTTCTGCCTCAAAATCTACATTGGTCCAGTGGCATGGAGGAGGTGAGAGGGAACAGACCCACAGCAAGCGGCCACAGTGCCTGTGCTGGCTCACCCTGCAAATTCTTCACTAATCTCACCCTGTCTCAAGACACAGGAGACATGTCCAGGGGAATCCCTGCAGGCTTTCCTGACCGAACCGTGGGACTGAAGCATTTTGTTCACGTGAATCAACAGCTGGGTTTCTAAGACACATCTTTGTCAACAGGAGTCACAGGTTTGTACGTGAATTTGGTGCAAAACTCAGCTTCTCTGTTGGCTGCAAATTTTCCTTCTGGGACAAAACAGTCTCAGTTTCCCGAGGGCAGACTTTGTCAGCAGCCATGTGTGCAGCGCAGCAGTGGAGGTGGCTGGCTACGAGGAATCTGTTTTTTTTGCTATCAGCACATCTTGCCATGAGCCAGGGCAGCACTGGCAAAGCTGCTGGTGAGCAGTACCCATTAGTGAGTCCCAAAACACAGCAGGTCGTTGTCCTGGTTTCGGCTGGGATAGAGTTAATTTTCTTCGTAGTAGCTGGTACAGTGCTGTGCGTTGGATTTAGCATGAGGATAATGTTGATAACACAGCGATGTTTTAGTTGTTGCTAAGCAGTGCTTACCCTAGTCAAGGACTTTTCAGCTTCCCATGCTCTACCGACAGAGAAGGCTGGAGGTGCACAAGAAGCCGGGAGGGGGCACAGCCAGGACAGCTGACCCAAACTGGCCAAAGGGACATTCCATACCACGTGATGTCATGCTCAGTACAGAAACTGGGGGAAAGCTGCCGGGGGGGCCGCTGCTCGGGGACTGGCTGGGCATCGGTTGGCGGGTGGTGAGCAATTGCATTGTGCATCACTTGCTTTGTATATTCTTTTATTATTGTTATTATTATTACTATTTTATTTTATTTCAATTATTAAACTGTTCTTATCTCAACGCACGAGTTTTCTCACTTTTACTCTTCCAATTCTCTCCCCCATCCCACCACGGGCGGGGGGAGAGTGAGTGAGCAGCTGTATGGTGCTCAGTTGCCGGCTGAGGTTAAACCATGACAGTCATTTATACACCATCGAAGGTGTGGAAATGTTGTCACTAAATGCTGGGGATACAGCAATCCTGGGACTGGTAGGCCAACGGTTTCAGGTTTAGATCTTTAAATCTGAGCATCCAGCTTTGTACTTGGGCATCTTAAGCAGATCACCCTTCAGAGCAGGCACATTTCTGCTTCTGTGGAGGTAGCTGTATTTCCAAACCAAGCCCAATATTCAGACACCCAAACGTGAAAATCTCTGATGTGTTTCATACCAAAGCCAGTAACATTTTAGAGGAAAAGCCTGTGGCCTGGCTCCTGCACGTCAGGTCTCCAGGGTATTCCTCAGTTCTCAGTAGCCTTCCTGCCCATAAGAAATACTAAAATTACGTAGGGAGGAAAGCCAAAAACTCCTCTTTAAATTCCAGCCAGTATCTGGAGCAGCATTAAATTTCTTGTAGTGTGTGTTAGTTAACAACATTGCTAAGGGGGAATTGCTGCTGTGGTTGAGCGCTTACACAATACAACTCCTATTTAAGTGCATTTTTGTATCCTGCTGAGTCACCCCAAGGAGCCCTCAAACAAAACTTCACGTTCAGTTTGACAGCAGAGGCAGTGTCATGAAGAGCCCCCTCTTTACCAGCCCTCCCCGGGGGGATGCAAGTGGAGGATGGACAACACTTCAAACTGTGGAACTTAATACAAAGCTAAAAGAAAAAAAGTGCCTTAAGATTTCAGCCAACATTTCCCCCCATACAGCTTTAAGCACACGACATTTCCAGTCTGTTGCAGCTTCACTTAATAGATTAAAATGACCGTACAGTCTCTGAACTGCTCAGGTCAGACTATACTTCAGGCGAACTGCCTCTAAATAAGAGGACGCGTTATTTATATAGCATAATATTTCACTATTAGGGCTAGATGAATGTCTCTGTTTATTGTCCCATAGTAAAGCTGAGTGGGTTAACGCAGTGTGAGCCACACGCGGCCTCTTGGCTTATTTTGCTGGCAGCTGCCTTTCAGGCTGGCTGGGGTCGCTTTCCTTGCCCCCCCCTGGCACACTGCACGCGAGCTGAGGTCTGCAGTGGATGGCTGCAAGCTCAGGGGCTTGCACAGCATGGCAGCAAGGCAGGGACTGTTTGCACAAAAAAGCAATATTTTCTCTGCAGGAACAGTGCAACGGGTAAGATTTTTGTCTGTAGAAGTTCCTGCTGGTGCCACGTAGCTGGGGATAAGAGGTCACTGCAGAGAAGGCAGAGGGTGGACATGGGGTCTGAGGGCATGCGGTGGCCCTCCCATGAGCTAACCCAAGGCACTGCTGGCATCGCTGCCTGGAGGGCAGCTGGGTTGTGCTGGAGCAGGGAGCTGTACCTAACTGCCCCCTGCAGACATGCACGCACCATCCTGCAGTGGATCAGATCTTGCTAGAGTGGAGACCCACGCACCTGGCCTTTGGTGTTGAATTTGGAGAAGAGCACAAGGAGACCAAAGCCTGAGCCCTGCCTGATGGCTTAGTCTCAAATGAGAGGCAAAGGAAAAAGTTGAGGTGCTCCTATGATGTGCCAGATGGCTCCAAATCTGCATGAAACCAACACAATAGCTTTGCTGTCACTGTAAGTCCAGTCAGTCAGAGGTAGCAGATCACTCCTTGAGGCTATGGACGAGGAATATTGCTGTGCATCTATGGACTAGGAACAATGAAGCTATAAAAAAAGACAGCTTAAACAGCTGAGATTCATTTCACTGAATTTCTGTGTGGTGCTTGGCACGGGCTGTGGTAACGCTACTTAGCAGTAGAGGACATCTAGTGATGCTCACATGCAACTACATAAACCCGATAAAAGTTCACATGTTACCACTTAAGAGCCAGTGTGGCTAAAGACGGGATATGGTGTGGCTGTAACAGCTGCAAAGAAGGCTGGGACAGGCTGACCACTCAGCACCCTCTATAAACAGGTCACAAAGGAAAAAAAAACAAGAGGCTTTATACATAGAAAACACACAGTGAGGGCATAGACAGAAAGCTCAGGGGAGCTGGTGGTGCTGCACCTTTTAAGAAGGAGACATTACAGGGAAGCACCGCGCTTTTATTTCTACAGCAAAGACCCTGTAAGCAGGGATACGGAGGTTAAAATAA